CATGTTCCACTAGGTACTGCTTTGCTATTACTTTTGTACAGGCACCAATAAACTGCTCCTTGACCATCAAGTCGGTAACACCATCATATGTTGCTGCAGTGTCTGACAACTCAACCCATTTAGCAAAATAATTCCTAAGCCGCACAATTAACTGGTCAGGACTCTCGGAACTTTCAGGTTTAATTTCACGGAATCGCTTCCTGTACCCATCCTCTGTGAAATCGTATCTTGTCAACAGCGCCACCTTCACACGATCATAGTCAACTGCATCAGTGTCGGACATCCTGGAATATACTTCCAGTGCTCTACCAGTCAACAGCGCACTCAATTTTGTGGCCCATCCATCTCTATGCCAACTCGCATTCGTTGCAAACCTCTCAAACTGTAATAAATAACTATCATGTTCGTCCTTACCATCAACAAATGCAGGCAACTTTGGTGACTGTGCATCACTGACCACATTTCGTTGACCGCCAACATCAGCCTGTTGGAGCCCCGGCATTGCTGCTTGAAGCTCTAATTCCCTCAACTCAAATTCTGTTTTCTTTTCTCACTGTTCTGCTTCCATTCGCAATTTCTCTCTTTCGCCTGCTTCCGCTTCCAGCTGTAACTTTTCCTTTCTTTCCTCAATCTCCATTTTCCTTACCTCTGCTTCAGTTCCTTTTCTCGCTGTTCTGCTTCCGCTTCCAGTCGTAACATTTCCTTTCTTTCTTCAATCTCCATTTTCCTCACCTCTACTTTTATTTTCATTTTTGCCTTTCTCTCTTCCCTCGCCGCTTGTCTGTCAGCCCCCTGAGAACTCAATTGCTCCAAAATAAATTTCCTTTTGTCTTCTCCAGTCATTTCGAGTTCATCCGCCCATTCCATCAACTCTTGTTTCGACATATCTTTCATCTTGCTGGCCATGTTGTCTTCTATATCTTCACTGCTCCCGGACGAGCCCCCAGATGTCACACGCAATGTAATATTACCGTAATTGGTATAGTACAGGTGTGATGGTTCAAATACCAAAATAGCAACAGTAACAGAAAGACTTCCCTGGCGGCAATGATAAAGTACGAATACGGAACCAACAGATGAGGTTTCAACTGGTACTGGTATTATTATACTCTGCAAAAATCAGGTACAATAATGCGGTAAAACTCCACTACTCCAATAACTAGATACTTAAACTCCAATACAATTCAACGAGATATCCGATCTGATCTCAGTGCTGAACAGCTCCCCTATATATACCCGCACTGTCTATAAATAGACCATTACATCAGTATACATAATGAGTCTTGAACTTACTACAAATTTTCTCGAATGTTCCATTACCTTCCATTGCTTCCTACAGTGTTCTATTACCTATTCAACCAGTTTCTAAAAAAATATAGAATATTCCACCCAGACACAGTACGGTTCTAGAACATTCTCAGTGACGCGGAAGTGGTAAATAAGTTGTATGCGAC